TAGTTCTCAAAGAATCCTGGTCTCAACCCTGCCAAAGGCAGAAAAAGAAGAATACCTTCTGAGCAAAGGATGCTTAGTGATGTATATAGAAGGAACAAATCCATGTGAGGTGTGAGTCGGAGGGTTTTCTTTTTGTGTTGGGCTTTCAGGACCGGAAGATCCAAGGTGCTGGGGCTCGAGCTTTGGAGAGCGCCATGGACACGACTGGAGCGAGCTTGCCGGCGCCTGGGTTTGGTCAGAAGTGCAGAGTTTGGGTGGATGTTGTATCAGGCTGTTAAGGTCCTGAACTTCTTGATGCTTACAGCATGTTGCAGCACACACACACACTAATACATATGTATATATATATATATACACATGTAGATAACAATTTCTTCAGGTGATTCACTTGTCGACCCTTTTGGTCGCCCTAGGCGCATTTGTTTTTCATTGCTTAGTCCTTCCCACGTTTTGCACTGGTCTCGACTCAGTGCCTTTGTTTTCATCCACCTCACCCCTTGGACCACCGTGTGAGGGACTTCTCCATCCAATCCGCGGCGTTTTTCATCAAAGCACCATCCCCAGGCCTTGCTCCGCGACGGGCTTCTGCGCTCCCTCACGCTGGCGCACCAGCGCTGTCCAGAAAGCCGCTCAGTGGCCCTGTCCCTGTGCCGCGTCATGGGAAAGACCATGCTGCGTGCCTTGGAGGCACGATTCATCCCCATGGATTGTACAACCTCCATCGCGTCCGCACTCACCCCTCCCGGTCCCGCCACGCGCCATGTCTGTCCCCAGGCGGGGCGGGTAAGACGCCACCGCGGACAACCTCTTATATAGGAATGTAGGGGGGTTTTGACCAACCAAGAGCCTACATCACATGGCATCCCTCCGAGTTTCTTCGCCCCTCCCGTTCGCCGCCCGAGGCGCCCCGGAGCAGCTGAGCCCCGAGGTGGGCATCAGCGCCTTGAGCGCGGGCGCCTCGCTGCCGCGGGACCGGGAGGTGGTCGTGGCAGCGCTGGAGGCGATCTACGTCCTGGCGCCGAAGCTCCGGAACCTTTGGGCCGGACAGCCCAGCCAGACGGGGCTAGCCGATCGGCTGGCGCTGGTGGCCGGAGATTTGGTGCGATTGGGAGAGGTGCGGCACAAGGCGGGGATGGTGAGCAGGTGGGATTTGGTTGGCAAGTTGGCGGTGTTCATGAGTGGGGTGGTGTATCCTGGCTGACTGTGACTGTCAGTGTCCATGTTGGTGATAGAAATGGGATGAAATGCACACCCGATATATATACATGTTCGAAAGGGAACCCCCGCTTTCTACCCACTCAACATGGGACTACGTTTCAAGAAGGCCACCAAGATTCACTTGGGGTGACTGTGATCTATGATCCATGACCCCTGGGAGGATTCGCACTGTGTGGGGATGCTGCTGGTGATCTTAACCTGCCTCGCCAGCGATGGTCACGGCCTCACCGCCGGTGGCGTGCAAGGGGAGCGCTGGCGTCATGCGCTCGGTCGGGCGGCCGCGGTGGCGATTCCCTTGCGGGCGCTCTTTGAGCACAGCAAGGAGGTGGACCCTTGGACGAAGGAGGCCAACCTCCCAGGGTTTGGGCTGCGGAACGCTCGCCAGGATAGTTTTGAGCCAGGAAGCCTACAGAGGTTAAGTGACCTGAACTAGGACTCGTAACCAGGGGTACCGAACTAGGATAGTCGAACTAGGGTTCTTCAACCTCTGCTGAAGGAGACCAACTCGTTTCGCAGCCCAACTCTGTTTCACAGCAGCTTGCCGGAGCTGATGCGCCGAACGAACTCGTCCAGCAGCATTGTGGGAGTGTTAGTAACGAACAGCCAACCCTGAGAAGTGTCTTCCAACCATAGCTGCAGGCCTCTGAAGTGAGTTCCTTCTTGGTAGAATGGCGACCTTTTGCCTAGGCTCGCCGTCCGAGCCCTTTGTTTTAGGTGGCCGAAACCCGTTGATCGTCCATGGTATTCTCGGCTGTTTTGGTGGGTCGGATTTTGGGGGGGGTCACGGATGGATATTGGATTTGGTTTTGCAGCCGCATTGTTTTTTTCGAGCCATGCCCGGTGCCAACTGCAAGCTAAAAGGCAAGCCCTTCACCAGAAGGGTGTAATTATATATACCCTGAGCAAAGATCAATGAAGCTGGCATTCTGCTTCCTGGTCCATGTCCATGACCAACAAGAGAGATTGCTTGTAGGATCCACTTTGTCTGACTGCCCAGGACATGGTGACCGCTGCCGGCATCGCCTTGCGGTGTATGACCTATGGCTCTGAGGAGACATGCGCGCACGCCGCGCGCGCACGGGCGTGTCCCATCTTGCTCAGCACGCTCACGGCCTACGCGAACAAGCCGGCGACCACGAGGGAACTGCTGGCGGCACTGGCGAATTGCGCGTCCATGAAATCCATGAAGGAGGGGAGCGACCAGTTCTTTGAATTTCTTTTGCCTTTTACTTTGTGACTGTTGAGGGGGGACAGTAGTACAGTAGTACGAAGGGTAGATGAACCCATTACTGCGTGAGAGTAGCAGCCTATAGCAGCCTCATCTCCGCGATCGTCATGTGCAGCGAGGAGCCAGTAGGGTGGTTGATACCCCATGTCTCCACTAAATATGGGTTTCTTTTTGCTGGCCCACCACCGGTGGAGGGAGGCAGACGGCCCACGAAGTTGGGACACCGAACTCTGTGAGCACCGAACTCCTGGTGCTTCGACCCGATGCCATCGTAGCTTCGACCCCGTGCTGCTCGTTGACTTCCATCCGCCCGTCATAGAATTCATGTCTTGTGCGGCAATCTGTTCTTTTTTTGGGGGGGACCGGGCGAAACATGCGCTGTTGTGTCTAGCTAGTCCATTTTGCATGACCTGGACAGGAAGACTTCCAAGCAGGCTTGCCACAGACTGCAGAGGTGATCTACACCGCCATGGAGCAATCTGCTGACCGGGAGCCCGATGTGCTGGCTCAAGGCTGTAGGGCCTTTGGGGCCTTGTACGCCACCCCGAACAACGAGGTGAATCTTGGGCTAAAGCCGGGTGAGAAGATGAAAATCAGTTCAAATGTACAGTGGAGCAAACTGAATAATGCCATCATCAAGACAGTCATTGGAAGCTTGGATGCACAAGCGGCAAGCAAAACATTTTCGTTTTGGCGCAGTAGGAATTGGGCCTGGTAGCTTGCCCCCAAGATGCAATATGGGATGGGTAAAGAAGGCAAAAACCGTTCACCTTGTTCCCATGGACCTGGAACATGTTGCCTTACTTCAAAGGAACTGCTTGCTTTCGACAACTGCAAATGTTCTCTGCATGCTCTGCTAACCCTTTGACCTGCGACCATGCCCCCTAACCGCGCGAATGCCGTGCGCCACTTCGGCGCTCCCTTCCGCGCCTGGCGCGAGCCCGGTGGGCGCGCCGGGGCCCCGGGCGGCGCGCCGCTCCGCCTCGAGGCATCACCGTGCACAACGGCGACGCGGTGGAGGGCAGCGCCTTCGATGTCTTCGGCTCGGAGCGACAGCAGAAGTTGGAGTCGACCCGCCGGAGACTCGGCCCCTTGGCTCGACGCAGGGGGGTGCCCCGGTTCCCCCGCAGAAGGGGGGGGGAATCGCCCGGTCGGGTTTGGGGCTGGGTCGTGGACATGAGGGAGCTGCGTTTTGGCTGGGTGCAAGTTAAAGGTGGTAGGATGTGGTAGGGTTCGGAGAGTGGGTGTGGCATTTGGGCAGGGTGCAGGTCAATGGAATTTGGAAGGGCACGGAGAAACAAGCGCCCAGGAGGAGTTTAGTCAACCCAAGTTAGTTGATCCTTCTTTGAGTGTTCCAGGGCTGGGTGGTTATAATTTTGACATGTTTGGAAAGCAGTGACCAATTTCACAAGAGCAGTCAGAGTCAAAGAGCCTGGCACAACACAATGACGCCACAGGCCTCTCACAATGACGCCAGTGACTCCAGTGGTTTTGAGAAGCCATCTCAACTTGCGTGCGCATGCGTGCACATTCCCAATCTTGGTTTGGACTCCTCACTGCATCGGAGGATTCCTTCATGTCGGTCGGAGCCACCGAGGAGAGCTCTGCATGCATCTGGCCAGCGGCTCCCTGGCTGCCGGGCCCCAGTTCGGACGGCTGCTCTCGCAGGGCGGCGAGCCCACAGCGGAGTGCACGCCTCGGTGGAACTCCTTGCGCTCGCGCTTGCAGGCCCCACGGTTGGGAATTTATTTGAACTTCTTCTTTGATCCTCTTGCAGCGGAAAAATGGTTGGATCTCGTGCTGGCCTGGCACAATTCCAAGAAAGTGGGGGTTGGGTTTTGGAGCCCCTGCCGAGTCGTTGCACAGAGTCAGGTGACCCCGAAGCGAATCCTTTTTCTTTCTTGGTGCAGGACCGCGAGCGGAAGAGGGGCCAGGGCGAGACCGAGTCACGAGCGGGCGCCACATGAGAAAAGTGCGAGCCCTTCAGGCACCATGCAGCGGTTCGGCGGTTTGGACCTGCCCTTGGTGCCTTCTATAAGAAGGACACACACCGGTCCGGCCTTTGAAGGAGCCTGACGGGGTCCGGCCAGTCTCCCCCTCCAGTCCATCCCCATATGGTCAGGTCACCCTCACCCTTTGGTCAGGTCGAGCTGCCCGCCGAAGGAAACGCGCGCGGAGGACAAAACCGAGGGCGGAGCAGCGACCCCCACAGCAAGCGGCCCTCCAGACCCGGCTGAATCGATGAGCGGAACAGTGAAACCTTGGGCAGTTTTTGGGCTCAAATAGAAACCGGGGGAAAGCATACTTTGCAGCAAGCTCACGCAGGAGCTCTGAAGTTGGATTTTGACACGCAGCTGCGAACTTGCTTGCATGGAAAACATGGCTTTGACGAGTATCTCCTCATGACCTTGGCAAGTCTTAGCCCATCGCATTTGGATGCATTTGGTGGAACTGAATATCCCCCCCCATGGTTTCCTTCCTCTCCATGGCTCGAGTGGGCTTGTTGCTTTGGTGCTTTTTTGGGGGTTAGCTGCTTGCAGTGCCCGGCAGGAGGATGTTGTCTCGAGTTGCACAGACTCTTCGAAGCATCTCGGACGAAGCGTAGCAAAATCGAAGGCACCGTCCTTTTCCCAGACCAAGTTTTGGAGCTGCAGCCAGTTCACCTGGCTCGGGGTCTAGTCTCTAGTCTCCAGTCCCAGACCTAATTCACCAAGCATTTATCAACCACTTTAGGTGTATAGACCCCCGAACGCCCTATGCTACCAGATGCTTTGCCAAGCTTTTGGTGGCCTCAAGGCGGTGCCCGTGTGGCCAGCCCGGTGGCCGGCGCACTGCGAAACAGCTTTACCGTGGTGCAGGAGGCGTGACCGCGGTAGGATGCGTAGCGCCGTCACAGACCAAAGTAGCCGAACAACTCATAAGAGTCTACACGCCGACGGAGACATCACAGTCGCATGGAAGTGGATCATCACCCTCTTGTGCACGAAAAAGAGAATTGTCTTTCAAGGGGCCAAGCCATCCAATTCCATGTGATGTGGTCATCAGATCCCATTTTTGCCCTCCCTCCTGGGCCACTCTCCTCCACTCCTCTCCCACTGCAGCAGAACCGGAGGCCACTCCCCGACTCAACCGTCGGGTGGCTCAGGTTCGCACCCGGTGTGGGTGCTCCGGGAGAGACAACCCACCAAAGCGCCGAAGCTCCGGGGAGGTCAAAAGGTGGCGACTTGGGGGTCCGGAGACCGAACAGCTGGGCGAGCTTCCATGGCTGGAGCCGGGCACCGCTGCTCCGGAGACGTCTCGCTCGCTGCGAAGAAGCCGAGCTCTGGCCCAGGCTGTGAGCTCTATGTGCCGGGCACACAGGCGAAGATCATCCCCAAAGCTGCCAAGTCGGCTGCTGATGTGCCTGGGCTGTCGAGAGTCAGACGGTTAGCTAGAAAGGAGCTGCGAAGAGAACCAAGAGAAGCACACGCAGATTCTGAGGGCTTGGAAGGGGGTTTACACTCCTCGGATGATTTTTGCTGGGTCTTGGGTTTCACCAAGGAGACTGTAGGAGTTGAAGTGTCCCACAGTAGGCACCGCTTCAGCATGCTCAGCATGCTCAGCATGCTCGCTTCGCCGCAAGGTGGTTGTGATGGACCTGGAAGACTCAGTTGCCATTGGCGAGAAGGAGGTGGCGCGGAAGAACGTCATCCAAGCCTTGAAGGACCACACCGGTCGGACTGTCATTGACCACGAGTTGCAGAGCTCCGACTGCAGGGGCTGGGACTTGTGAACCGGAACGGGGGGCCCAAGCGGTCGGCCGGTTGGGCACCTGACCACGACCCGACTCGTCGCAGGAAGTCGACTTTGGCAACAAGACCGTCGCAGTCGACCTCTGAGGATGGGGGAAGTTGTGTGGGCCAAGGCTGGTAGGACTCATTCCAATGGCCGAGAATTGCATGGCGAATTGCATCCCAATCCTGTGTGTTTGGAACTGGCTGCTAGTTCATGCTAGTTCTTTGGCTTGAAATCCGTTGGGTGGCTCTATTCTCCTTGGACGCAGGGTGGGCTCTATCTGAATCCTGCAAACCCAGGCGACCGAAAGGCCAGCCGACTGGAATTCCTGGACCATCCACACCTGGATCTTCTAAGATATCTGGTGTTTCAAGAGGATCCATAGGTGGTGGTTCCCGATCTTTTTCTTTTCAACCTCTACCTGAGATGATCAAAATTGCGGACGAATCTGATGTTTCAAGTGGACCAGGCCTCACCACCGAGATCGGAACCCATCCACTGAGGTCCGCATCAACGGGCTCTACAGCCACCACATGTACCGGGACGTGGTAGACATCATCGAGCAGGCCCGCCGCCCGCTGTCTTGTTCGGTGTGCTGTTTGGCGTGTGACGTCTGGCAGCCTCCAACTTGTTCATTTGTGAAGGATGAAGGAGTCGTTCAGGATGGCACGAGGTCGTGCCCCCGAAAGAGGGAAGATGGACATGAATCACATGAACATGTCTTTTCCGGAAAAGGGCGAGAACATGCAAGAACCTCCTCAGGACCTGGTAGCAACTGGGCTTTTGGATGTTTGCTCGAGCTTTACTCGGCTTCTCGAGCTTTGGCCCACATCATCCCACCTCCAAAGCACCGGCCCTCACAACTTCTCCGCTCCTTCTCGCAGACGCCCGTTTTTTGGGGATCCCCTGCACCTCACCCTCTTCACGCTCGCGTCGGACTGCCCATCTCCTTGGGCGCGGTGTTCTCTTCATGGGAAGACGCAACCCTAATAGCGATGGCCTCCAACCTAGAAGCGATGGGTCCAGGCCGGAGAACGTTGTGATGTCTTTATCGTCCCTATGGTGGGCGTCGACAAGGTGTGGGTGTTGGGGCTGACGGCTGACGGGGCTGACGGGGCTGATGGGGCTGACGATAACGACAGCAGCCAGGGATGTGTGGGGAGCGACATAGAGCGACTGTGCAGCCCTCTGCTGCGAAAAGATTTCCAGCTTCAGTTGAGAGTTGTTTGGCTCCTTTAAGGGGGTTTGATGCGGAGGACTCTCGGCCAGAGCCTGGCTAGCAAGGATGGGATTCTCCCAGCATTGGGCCAAGAATAGCTTGGGACTGCTACATGGGACTCTTGAGGAATTCTCATGTGTTTGCATTCGATTCTCCATGTCTCTTCTTCTTTGAGTCCCCCCAAACAAGACACTTTCCAAAGTCTTCCGGACTTCTAGGTGCATCCATCTACAGTACCTTCCGTTTAGGGATACCTGTGCAGAGACCGTCCGTCCGCACTTCGACGTCCGTCCGTCGTGAGGACGTCTACATGGCAGATGCATTGGTGAGCCAAGTGGAGGAAGCGGTCGGCCGAAAGAAGAAGATCGGCTTTGGCCTCATCATCGAAGCGACCATGGGCGCTTCGGATGAAGGGATGGCGGGTTACACAGGCAGACAGGGGTGGTCTCATGTCGTGTAGCCATGCCCGAAGGAACTCCCAAAGAGGCGGCGGCTTGGCTGTTGGATGCTGTTGATCTCCAATGCTGCCCAGAAAGCTATCTGACTATCTATATAATTCGTCTATGTTGGGAAGTTCCAGTTTTTCGTCACTCGTTCGGAACACAGAGAGAGAGAGAGAGAGAGAGACAGAGACAGATTGACCATTGTGCCACTCCCAGAAGATGCCATCACCCCACCCCAAGATTCCATGCCCGGCACAGTCAATCATCCTCCATCCTCCACGGGTGCCGCATCCGGCCAGGCATGATGAATGTGAACTCCATCGCTGCAGCATCCAAGCGAAGCTTGTTGGAACTCCAGCGCTAGCGTGTTCATGCGAACAGGGAGGCCCACGTCGTCCATGTACATGAATTTTCATGAATTTCTTGAAAGCCCTACTAGAGTCACCTGCTTATTTTCAATGCACACCGCTAGAGCCCCCCAAACCGTGGCATGGTGGACAAGCTGGAGGTTGCGACTCGGGTCGCCGCAAGACGCCGGGACCTCTCACGGTTTCAGCGAAATCCATGAGATTGGTCGGTCGGAACTCAGGAGTTAGAGGCTTTGAGGCTTCCAGACCCAAACAGGTGGAGCGAGTGTGGATGACTTTACGTAGTATGAATAATAGTATATCTTTTGGAGCATTACCTGTAAGAGTCGGTAAACACTATCACTCTTTTGGAGGAAGGCCTTACGAACTGTTACTATAACCATCATCATTCACTGGGCCCCAGGAATGGGATATACATATTGATATATACTTACCCAAGATATGTTCGAGACATGAACCCACAAACACCTGTTAAAGACTTTGGCCTTTTGGGAGGGGAGATTTTCTTCCATTTGGATCGGAGACCCTCCGACCCTCCGCCCCCGGAATGACTGCGCTTCCATTCATGCAAGCTCCTCCGGCCGGACTCCAGGCAACGAGTCCCTGCACTTCGGGGTGGCCGACTACAGCGCATCCACCAAGAGCCGCACCACCAACATCGGAGGACCCAACAAGCTCTACGGCGTGCTCACCGACAAGGAGGGCGAACCCGCCGGGGGCCGGTGTGGTGCGGAAGGAGGGCGAACTGGGGCTCCCGCGAGTCTTCCCCTAAGACCTGGGACGAAGATGGAAGAAGGAAGAGACATCGCATTCATCTGAAATGGGTGTGAGTTGTGAGGGATGAGCTGCAGAATTTCTCGAAGAGAACTCAGATTCTGCAAATTCACTGGATGAACCTGCATGGTTACTGTAAGAATCTGTAAGATACTGTAAGTATATTTTACGACTCTTGTGTTGAGCCCGCTTCTATATAACCAACACTGGGCCTTGATCCTTTTTCATCACCTGGGCCCCCCCAACTCCAAACCGACTTCCACGCTCACCGCCTCCCCGCCTCGCCGCCTCGCCCGAGGATGGCGACAAGCCCCGTGACTTCGTTTGGGGCGACCCCTGGCACTATGCCCCTCGGCAGTCTCCACAAGGGCCAGTCAGGGGGTGGGTGGCTGAGGAAAACCGGCGTATTTTCGGGTTTTTGACGGGTCCCGACGGGTCCTTCTATCCAGTCAGTGGATACTGTCCGTGGCAGGGAAACTGATGGAATCAGTTCTTAGTGGATTCTGAGTGGTGAGGAGGACCGCCCCCCGGTCGGGCATGGTGGTCCGAGCGGAGCGATCGATGGAATGCGATATAACAGGATTCCTCTGAAGATCAAGAAGCTCAGGATCGTCATAAACGATCAACTTGAGCGTCATCACGCATGGATGCTTTTGTGCTGCAATGTGCCGCACTTCCTTGACTCTCTTGGCCTCCTTTCCTAGACCCATCTCCACCCGCCTTCCGGTGAGGCCATGTCCCGCATCGTGGTGGCCGCGCGCGCCAACGGCCTCCGCCCGGTGGACGGCGACCTGCCGCGGTGAAAGCGGAATGGGGGGAATTCATCTACTCAACCGACTCAACCGACTCCAGCAGTTCAAAGCCTTGCAGTTCTTTCTTTTGGCAAGCTGGACATGGTTGTATCCGGGGCTTCGTTTTTCTTTTTTCTCTCTCCCTCATTTTGCAACTGACCCATCTTGGGGCGTTCGTCGACCGTCGCAACCACTTTGGTCGACCATTGCAAGGCATGGGAGCGTCTCCTGACACGTTTGTGGCATCCTGACATAGCGGAAGGACAGCTGACGGCTCCTCCGTTCGAACACATCCATCTCCACACAGACCCGCTGCTGATTTCTCGGAAGTGACACGTGGAGTCGGACCGAGCCCTTTAAGGTGTGGACAGACTTCTGCGTGCGAGAAGAACACCGTACGCCCAGTTGCATCCCAAAACATGCTCCCACTACCGTCGATCAGCATCCACCCTGGAACCAGCTCCAAAACCCTTCCAAAACCAGCTGTTTGGACATGTTTGGACCATGGTTTCATCTCTTTTACATGCGCTTGGCATTTTCCACCACCCTGTTTCACCCTCCACGGCCATGCAGCTCTTTTTCACCCACCCCCTTTCCCCCTCTCCGGCGCTTCTCAGGCCCCTTCGGCGACATCGGAGACCCCGACGGGTACCGGGCGCAGTGCAACCGCGGGGCGGCCCTCGGCATGGAAGGAAAGTGGGCGATCCACCCGAGCCAGGCGGGCGGGCGCGCTGGGGCGCAGGGCCCGCGGCATGGAGCGCGGGGCATGGAGCGATCTGTGGGGTGGGGAGGACCATGAATAGCTGACATGGAGAAGCATAGGTTCCCAGATGGTCCCCAGGACTCCTGGCTCAGATATGCTCAGATGGCAAAGACAATTTTTTGACAAAGCCTACTTATGATCACCATTTGGGAGTTGAGCTGTTCGGCATTACCAGCCTCCAATTCAAGATGTTTTGGCACGCTGGGCATGCTGAGTCCTCCTCGACTTTTTTTCACCGGAACTTGACTACGTAGAACATTATTTTGACTCATTTCGGCTGGAAAGTTGAAGATGTTAAGTTTATAGTATCGCTTAGTGGACAATCACCGTGCTTCGGATGATGTGATGTTCTCTTGCGTCCAGTGTAGAACACTGTGGGCCACTTCAGTGCTGACGTGAGCCGTGCCGCTTCCGGGCACGGCCCGGTCTCTACCATCCAGGTGGCCATTGCCAACGAGGTCTTCAGCCCCGGGGAGGCCGAGGTGACGCAAGCGCGCCGCCGCTTGGCGACGCAAGCACGTGGGAGAAGAACGTCGAATTGCTGGAACGTTCTTCCGGGATCTTCCGGGTGCTTGGACAGGGGACTGGTCTGGTGGATTTGTTGGGAAGTGGACGACATCGTCCGCTGGTTGGGCCGTCCTTGTTGGGATTTGGAAGCGGCGTGGACTTGGAAGCGGCGATTTGAGGCGTGCTGGAGGCGATGGAGAAGGCTCAACGCGAGGCGGGGCGGGGAGCGGAGAAAGATGCGGAGTCTCACACGGGGGGGGGCTGAAACACTTGAGCGAGGGGATGTCCAATGAAGGTTTGAAGATTTTAGAGTATATGGCTTGAAGATCTTGAAGCTTCGTGGAAGTGAGTCAAGACCTGGAGCTCCGCTCCAAACCCTGGTAGGTTGACCTGGTCATTTATTTTGTTCATTTCCCGTGGGAAAGACTGACCAGGGTCCGCCGGCCGCCTGGTCATGCCCCGGGGCTGGTGACAAGACTCGAGACATCAGGGGCTGGGCGCGGTGTCCTTGGACGGCAAGCTGGTGGACATTGCATCGATCAAGCAGGCACCGGTAAGAGGACGTTGGCGTTCCGTGCGTTTGATTGGATGGCGTGTTATATATATATAGGTGTCCCCCCAAAGCGTAATTATTTGAGTGGCGCGGTTGTCCAAGACATTCTGAATGTGGGGATCTACCTTTTTCCATCTAATTATTTGGCGGGGGTCTATATATATGTGTGTTCATGATGTGGTTTTTTGCCCTGGGATGACTCTGGATGGTGCAATTCTTGGGCGACTCTGCTGGACAGATGTATCAGACACCGACCGTTTTCCGGGCCCAAAGCTTCCAAAGGTGGTGTGACCGCTGACGACCGGTGACCACAGGACAGTTTTTGATCAAATTTTGTACCACAGATAAACCAAGGATGATTGCCCCACCAATTTTTGTGTTGATTTGGTGGAACGCTGCCAGTGGTTTGGCATCCGGACCTGAGCCCACATTTGCAGGCTGATGCTATTGTGAAGAAGGCCGAGGCCATCGCTGCCATGAACTGAGTTCAGCAGCCATTGCGCATGGCGCAGTGCCATGTCGGTTTCCGCACGCAGAACCTGGCGAGGTCGACGGGGGGATTGCTGAGAAAGGAGATTCAATCGTTCTTCTTGGTTTTCACAGGGTCAAACACCCAGGCATGTTAACCCCTGTCACCCGCCACACGACAGACGTGGGCGGAGCCCTCGTGGTCCACATCCACAAGAGATGGCCCTAAGTGCTACTGGAGGTGGTACTAACAAAGATTCTTCCCGACGTGGCAGAAATTCGCCATGCGGCATCATCGATTCTTCCTGGATGAGATTTAGAGACTCGAGTTTTCGTGACATTCCTACATGGGGCACTGAGTTTCAATGGCTGTGCCGTTTCTGCAATTTCCAAAGGCCAAAGAGTTGGAAAAATGCCGTTGAGCGGAAGGTGTCCGAGATGAAGCATCGCTGGGGGCGGTTAGGTGGGCTTTTTTCGGTGGGCAGGGTCATCCGATCCTGGGTGCTGTGGGACATCATCCAGGCAAGCACATTGACATGTAGACGCTTTCGCTACAGGAAAGGAGGAAATCCATGGCCATGAACATCCAGTTTTAACCATGTCAGCTCTACCGGAACTGTTTTTGAACAGCTGGTGTTCGATGGCGCTTCTCGAAACAGAGGGTATTCTAATGTTCCCACCTCTAATGCCCACTCCACCAGTAGAAAAATGGGCTAGAGACTCACAGGCAGATTCAGACCACCCCGCTCCAGACTACGTACAGTAGCTTGGATTGTTTGTTAGGTCCCCTTCCCCCCCAAAAAAAGACAAAAAACTCTGCCGCCTCAGATGTTTTGGATGCAGGCTCGGTCGAGGTACACAAGGAGCAGCATTTGCGACGGATACTGCGCGGCGTGTGGGTGATGGGACTAGGGCGGAAATGGAGAGAATTCATCTCACACATTCTGGTGATGACAGACACACATGCACAATGAACTATTCAAAGCTAGTTGGCTTGGGGGGGCATTTGTGAGTGCAGAAGGTGTTGGTAGTGCCAACCAGGACGGGCAGCATCGCTTGCGTCATTAAAACCCTTTTGGAATTTGTTGTGACACCATTTGAGGATCTTGATGACTGAAGGACGTCCTGGCAAGTTTGGCAGGAGTCATCAGCTTCGTCCAGGATGCGTCCGTGGCCCAGACACTTTCAAGATTTGGTTTGCCGTCAAATGTCCGGGCAACTAAGCCACAGTAGAGCGTATGCCCACGGAAGAGCAACAAAACGGACAGGGGTGCTAATGGACACCCCCATGGCCCACCTCTTAAGGGGACTGTATTACTGTAATTAGATAGCTTTTAGGAGGCCCTGGTACATGGGCCTTCTTCTCAGCCCACCTTCTTTGCCGGCCAGAAGGCCCGAGGCCAAAGCTGGGCTTCGGGCGAATGCCGCGCAGAACGCATCCGATGGGCGAACCGAACCCCATCAATGGCAAGCCTGCAGTGAGGCCACGGGCTCTACAACGGCCTGGTGGTGGATGAAGCCCAGGTGTCCAACGAGCGAATCGGATGGTCTCGACCGCTGAACGCCGAACGCATTCTATCCAGTGGGCCCGGCAGGGTGCAGGAACGTTTTCTGAGCAGACCTCATCCTTGACAGGACGGGCTGCATGGCCACTACGTGCTGAAGGTGGAGGGCGAGGAGGCCCGGCAGCTCGCGGGCCGGGTGACGCACTTGCGGCTCTTCAGGGTCTTTCCATGTGACCCACTGAATTTTGGGACCTCAAACACCTGCCAATCTACCCGGTAGCCCTTACCGTGCTGAAAAACTAGCCTGGACCCTGAAAGCCAATGGCTAGAAGAGGACAACTGTTTTTCAGGGTCCATACTCCCGGATCTGGACGGTCTTTCCTTTCAAGCCTCCTTGGACAGCTTTGGCCGCCTTGGTCTTGATGGAAACGCCGGATCCGCGATCGCAGCCCGGGGTGAGGTGTGTGGCATGCAGGTCATGGGCCACTCGGCACCCAGAAGTGGGGCGAATTGATGAAAAAGAAAAGCTTGGAGAGTCGGTTGATGGAATGGGTTGAGTTGGGTTGGGTTGGTTGATTGGTTGGTGTGAAGATGGGTGACGGTCGTCCAACTGACCGTACTGACTCTCTTGTTGAATGTCGCATGTCTCGTGGGACTTTTTCAGTCTTCGCGACCATCATCTACCAACCAGTCTTCGGCAGCCTTTGTTGGTCCACCTCCTTCTCATGCTTTCTTTCCAGCAGAATTGCAGTGCGAGCCCAACAAACAACCCCATCAGCCACCCACATCAACCACTTCTTGGCATTCGGCCACGACATGAGTTCCTTCGATTCTCGAGAGATCCTTCCCGATCCGCGATGCAGCGGCCGGTCATGGCGGTCCCATCACCGAGCTTCGGTGCACATGGCCGACCTCGAACTACACTCTTTTGACCTCGGAAGGAGGAAGAAACCACTGGATGCGTCGGATGCGTGCTCCATTTTTTTCCCAAGGCAAGGCAGGTGCGAAAGTGATGCTGAGACTCCTCCCAGAGGCCGCGTTTTTCATTCGGGAAGATGAACATGGAACCCGAACATGGACCTTTGGAAGACCAATTTCCTCTGCAACTACAACCCAGTGGTTTTCAGGTTCCATGTTTATTTTCCAGGGTGTAGATGCAGTGGCTTTGTTGCTTTCAGCGCCTAGGCACTCAACCCTGGCGCTTAGTCTTGGGTGCTGCATGGGCCGCTGACGGGTGCCACTGGCGTGGTTGAAAGAGGGCCAAGCAGTGTCAGCGACAGGTTCTTGATCCAAGGAACTCCCAGTTTCTTGACTCCAACGTTTATACAGGCAGTTCCTGTCACATGATGTTTTCGATCTCATTTTGAATCCAACGGGCCCAATAAGATCACACGGCACCCTCACACGTGCTAGGCACGAGGCCTCGCTGGCATATCTGGCGGAGCAGTTGCGGCGAAGGGCGGGAAGGCCCGGAGACTGAGGGCGAGAAGAAGAAAAAGAAGAAGGCAGTTGCGGAGAGGCTTTCTAGAGAAGGGCCACCAAGAAGTTACAACAGTTACTGTACACTGTAGACCAAGGATGGGTTGTCCATTTGAGCCAGAACCAATAGAACAAGCTTAACCTTCATCTTTGGGAGCCCGTTGTCCCGTTTTTCACGCAGCAGCGCCCCAAGAAGCCTGAAACAGTAGTCTTTGCCTTCGAAGAATGCTTGGAGCATGCTTTACGTGCTGCATGTTTCCCGTTGTTGTGTCCACGAGCGGGGGTCTGACTCACCCATTCCTGGTCTAACCGCAGGCAGTACCGAAGCCGCATGTCTGCGAAAACCGCCATGAAGAGAACTAGAAGATGATCTTGATAGGCTTATCTTTCAGGGGTTCTGCACCCGCACCCTGAACCTTTGATGTGATGAAGGTTCGTAGCCGACGTAGCCTTTCTGCAAGTTGGTTACGGAGACACTTGGTGTGAAAGGTTTCAACATGTTTCAACTCCCGTTGAAGCCAGAGAGTGAACCAGGCTAGGCCGAGGTCAGTTCCATGTAGCAAAGATGCGAGTCTCGCACCGTTCCTGGAAGGAAGTATGACTATAAGCATCTATAAGCTGTATTTGCCCTTGCGGCGATCCCTGCCACAGATCTGGCTGCAGCTTGATCTACGACTCGCGGGATGAACGTAGCGCAAAGTGGGGGCGCCGAGATTGGAACCCCTCACCTTGAACTAAAGGCAGTTCAGAGCTTGCTGCATTTGGCGATGTTGAATAGGAATTGGACATCGTGTCCCGTTGGGTGGATTTGTATGGCCTTCATGACGCGCTGCATGACACGGAAGTGGACAAATTAAGCATCTGGATTTGGTCTTCCTGTGAAGTTTCGACCACCAGTTCATGAGCGCATGTCATGAATGCTCGCCATCCCTTACGGATCAGGTGCGCACAGAGCCTCGCTTTTCACTTTAGCTTGCGCTGGAAAACATGCTGCGCTGTTTGTCCAGCTTTGTGTAGTGGATTTTGCACCCACTGCATTCAGTTGGCACCGGAGCCGCCATGGACGGTGTTGCTGAGGACCTTTCATTGCCTGCCGGTTGGTCGCCTTCGGAACTGGCAGAGTTGGAAGCACTGCACGCGTCTGTGGACGATGACGATCCAGGTGCGACATCTCATTGGCGATGCCTGAGGTGTCATTCGTCGCGTTGGTCATTGGTTGCCCCGGCTTCGTACACCTGTGACAGTTGTGGACATGATGAGTTTTACAACGCCCATGCCCCGACTCGGCACGAAACAGGTGACGGAGTTTGGATGTTTGTGCCAAAGGCTGATGTGGTGCCCGCCGAAGTTCCACAATCCGACTCTTCCTGGAGGCCAGCGGCCGAATGTTCGGATTCCGTGCAGGGAGAGAAGGAGCGTGATGATCCGGCGGAAGCCAGTCCTTCCTCGGTTTACGAGTGGCCCTCTGTTGATTTAGATCCGGAGAAAGCATCCTCAACCTCGAGTCGAAGGAGGCGCAAGAACAAGACCACTGTGCAAGCAGATGATCAGGATCCTACTAAGCAGTCATCACCGATTTCACCCTCCGCTAAGCAGAAGCCCAAGCTGAACATGTCGCCTAAGGCGAAGACAGGCACATCAAGTTCGAAGCTGGTTGACGCCCTCCGACAGTTGCTGGACGAGAGAAGAGCCGATTCGGCATCTGACAAGTCGTGGAACTCCCGTAAGGGACCTGCACCAGGACTGAAGTGGCGTGGCGGCTCTCCACCTCAGCCGCCAAAGTGGCAATACCAGTCGACGGACTTGAGGGCGTACGCAAAATATGAAAGAAGAGTTCAAGTATGGCAAATGCAGGTACAACATTACCTCACAGGAGCTGAAGCAGCATTGATGTTGTTTTCATCGCTGTCAGGCGAGCCGGAGGCCGAAGCAGAGCATATGGATTTGGAAAAGGTCAACACCAAGGACGGCATATCCTACATCTTGTCCTGCCTCAAAGGCCCGCTTGAACAAAAGTTGCTTTACCAGAAGCGCATGCTGTTGTCAAACTATGAGGGTATCTCCAGGCAAGGTCATGAGACCATACGACAGTTCATCAATCGATACAAGCGTGTTGAAAGGGACTTGCAAAGCGTTGGAATCAGTTCGGCTGCCATGTACGACAGCGAGTCGAGAGGAAACCGCTTGTTGGAACGTTGTCGTTTGGACCCTCAGTTGCAGCGGCTTGTGTTGATTGGTGCGCAAAGCAGTTTACAATTTGACAACATTGTTGACAGCCTCAACCTCCAGTTCCCGGACTTTCGTCCGACCCCTGCTGTGTACCAGCCCGGTAGTTGGCGCCAAGGTGGAAGCAGTGTTAGCTCCAATAGCCATCACAAGGGCAGCGGAAAGAGTTGGTCAAGCAGCACATCCACCAGCGCCTCATCCACTGTTCCATCCTCAGCCTCGGCGTACAATCGTGGCAAAGGCAAAGGCTTCCCAAGGAAGGTCTTTCAGACTGAACACGAGCCTGTTGAAGAGGCCGAGCATGAGGAGGAGGTTCAAGAACCGCTGACCGAACATGGTCAGGAGGAAGAGTTCTTTGAGCCGCTTGAGGATGAACCGGACGCCTCACCAGGCAATAGTGCAGAAGCGGTCGACGATGATCTTGGAAGCTCATTGAGCGAGTTGGCATCAGTTTTGACAGTGACATCAAACAAGCTCAGAGCAGCAACACTTGGTCGGAAGTTTACAGGTCGCAAGAGCATTGAGGAACGCAAACGCACATCCACTTGCTCAGCATGCGGGGCCGTTGGTCATTGGTCGGGCGACCCCGAGTGTTCGATCTCATCCAAGGGAGGTGGCAAAAAGAAGGGAAAGGGCAAGCCGGCAGGAGGGGCTCCTTCATCATCCGGTACCTCGTCCAACTACCCCAAGAAGACCTTCGTTGTGACCTATGGGGATGAACAGCAGGATGACCCTACAGACCCTTCGGACACCTTCTACACCTTCATGACCAAGAGCATTGATAGTGAGATTGTTGACACTGTTGACACGTCGGCATTTGTTTTTGTTGCAGAGTCCATTGACCTTTCAGGCTATATGGTATTGGACACAGCATGTCAACGGTCGTGTGCCGGAACCAAGTGGATGCAGACCCATGAGAAACTCCTCAACAACCATGGTTTGGTGTGCCACCATGAGCCTTGCAAAGACCGATTCCAATTCGGCGCAGGAAGTTGCCAGACGGCCCTCGGCAGATGCTACTTCCCAGCAGCCTTTGCAGGCCAGGTCACTCAGGGATTGGTGTTGGGAGTCAGCATCCTGGATTTGCCCATTCCGTTTTTAGCAAGTCGCATCTTGTTGGAGCAGTTTTGTTGCATCATTGACATGAGTCAGAACGTTCTGCACATGACAAAAGTTGGTGTTTCATTGCCGCTCCGTCGTCGACATGGTCACATTGTTGCTTACATCAACGCCTTCCCAACACAGGTTGCCAAGTTGTCTTGTTGGAAAGAGTTGGAACATGAGTGTTTTTGGGACAAACCAAGTCCTGAAGTTGTCGTGCACCCCGAAGCTGTGATCTCTCAGAGTTCGACCGACGTTGACATCCACGCCGCCTATGCATCGCACCAAGCAAGCTCCAGAATGGCTGTCGGCTTGGAGGACCATCATCCTTCGGGTCCTCTACCTGGAGTTCAACTGCCTGAGACAGATGGCTCGCTTGGTTCGGCTGTGTCTTCGCCCCCGGTCATGGTTGACCTTGGCGGAGGAGCAGGAGCTCAAAGAGATGCATCGAAAGGACCTCACAAGGCCAAAGGTGTCTCAGAAGCACTGCACGCACCCAGAGTTCCAGAGGTACGGCAATGCCCACGGCCGATACAGCCGATGCAAGAGGTGCGATCTCAAGTTCAAATGGCTCCCCGAGCACGAAGCATGGGTGGAGTACTCACCAAAATCCTCCAGCTCCTCAGCGCTGCCGTTGCCTTCGGCAGCCAACATCTTGGAGAAGGGTCCCTTGGCCATGAAAGCAGCATCACCCAAACGGGTCTTCAAGGGCAAAGGGAAAAGCAGGATGACAGCCCCAGCTCCCTCCAGCCGCAGGACTTCTTCGATGTCCGTGAGCAGTGCCAGTTCGACCAACAAGGCACAGCGCTACGACATGACGGCACAGGACTACGAGAATTTCCTGCAGACTGGGCTCACCAAGGAGGAATATCACGAGATGATGGAGACGGTCAACTCGGAAGCATTCCCCGACTCCGAGGATCCAGACGGCTACCCGGCGGACGGCTGGGATTGGTGAATGACCCAGGTCAGGATGGCCAGGACAAGGACTTTTGGGAAAAGTCGAAGACGAAGTACATTAGGCATCACATCACCCCAAGACTCCTGCTATACCAGCTCAACCCAGCAGATTGTCCTGTGCCCACTCACCTTTTGGTGCCAGAATGCCGTGCAGAGGTTCAATATGAGGATGGGACATTTGAAACCATCACGTACCCATGGCAGTCACACCAGGACACTCAGCTTCCGAAGACTTGGACTGGAAGAACCGTCTTCACTGTGACCAGTCCATCCAACCATTCCATGAACCTGCTCACCAATGCTGGCAGAAGGGCTCTTCGCACCAGCATCCGGCAGGCTCACCAAGTCTTCTCCATTGAGTATGCCATGGTGAACCAGACTGTCGATGAAAAGCCTCTGAACATGCGCAAGATTCGGGCCAGCCGGTCCAAAGTTGATGTCTTAGAGACATTCGCAGGCAGCGCCAACATCTCCAAGCGCTGTGGAAGATTCGGGCTCTCAGCGGCTCAGCCCATCGACTTTACCACAGGATGGGATCTGAATAAGCCCGCAGATCAGCTACAGTTGGAGCAGCTCATTGGAAAGCTGAAGCCACTGGTGCTGATTCAAGGAATCGATTGTCGTGATTGGACGATCTTGCAGGACAACTGCAATTATGTCAAGAGAAAGATCTTACTGCTGATGAGAAGGGCAAAGGCCCGCAAGCTGCTGAAGAAGATTTGTCAATGGTGCAGACAACAGCACCAGGAAGGCCGCCTCTTTGTGATCGAGAACCCCATCACCAGCAGATTGTGGCAAGAGGCGGATATCCAAAGCCTTCTCAAGCTCGATGGAGTGATGACTACAACCTGTCATTCCGGAGCATATGGTGCCACCAACTCCAGAGGCCAGATGATCAAGAAAGGATTCAGGTTCATGGGGAACTGCCCTCACATCTTGCACCGCCTCACCAGAAAGCTGACCCCAGAACAGCTACACCAATGTGTGCCGATCGAAGGCCGCGAGACTAGACTGTCCCAGGTCTATCCACATGAGATGGTCACCCAGATCCTTCAAGGCATCCAGCAAGAGGTCCACCAACGGTACCCAGACCGAGGCATCAACAGACCACAACAACACCACCAGGTCTGGATGACCATGGCTCCAGAGGCCTGGCAGGAGGCATTGCAGATGGCAGAAACCACCTTCCAAACCACAAGGTACAAGAGCTTTGTGTTGCCAACCTCAGATCCACTGTTCGCACTCACACTGAGGCTCACCCAGTGGCAACACATGGAACGAGTCCAGATCTCCCTGCAGCCCATTTTGTGGAGATTCCCATGGCACATCCCACATACACACAGAGCAGCCGCACTCCAGTACACCGACGGAGGCATTGAGGTCATACATGAAGACCTACAAGAGCTACGACA